TTTATACGGGAAAGATTGTCCATTTCGGACAAAAAACAGTTTGTTTGGACAAAAATAGATTTTTCGGACAAAAAACAGTTTGGCCGAACAAAAAATAGTCTTCCCTGGATAAAAAGTAATAATTCTTTCGGATGAGAAACAGTTCTCCCGGATAAAAAAATTGTTTTTCGTATAAAACACAATTCGTTCGTATGAAAACAAATTCTCCTAGACGACAAATAATTGTCCCGGATAAAAAAATATTTTTCTAAATAACACAGTTTTCTAAAAAAATCTGTGCTTTCCATAATGGCAATATTGAAATTATACAATAAAGTAAGAGTATTTTTGACAATTATACAATAAAATAAGGTATTTTTATCAAAAATTTATAAAATGGTATAGTTTGCAATGGAAAGAAAAAAATATAGATTTATAATGATGTGACATATTTGTTATAGTTTTCCAATTACCCCTTGTTTTTTTTCTATTCTTACTCAATCTTCCATTATGTTCTTTTTTTAAAGGGAAAATGACAAAAACCCACACAGATTGTATCAAATGTGTAAAATTAGTACATCAATTTTTAATTTGACAAAATCCCCCACTCGATTTCAAATTTTTCCGTTTTCCATCACCGATTGTTTCTTAGATTTCCAATTAACAAGAGAGAGGGAATTAACCGTGCCACATCAGCGTCCGATAACTGATGTGGCGTGGCACATCCGAAAAAATACCCATCAGATGACACGTAACCTGCCATGTCAGCAATTCGGGTTATTTAAATTGGTTCATTTGATTGCACCGGTTAAATGAAAACCGAAATTTTTTAAAAAAATTTGGGATCTCACTTTCAGAACTTCATCTTCTCTCGTCTTCTCTCCTCTCCTCCTCTGTGAGACGATTTCCGGTGAGACGAACGAGCTCCGGCGTGGCTCCGACTCATGTCGATGTTGCTCCGACGTGGGTGGTAGTCGTCTCGGTGGTTCGCTCCTACTTCGGTGGTTCGCTTATGTTAAAGTTTTGCTCTTTCGGTGGTTCGCTCGTGCTCCTGCTCCAGTTTCGCTACTTCGCTGGTTCGGTCCTGCTCCAATTTCGCTCCTGCTCTCGGTGGTTCACGGTGTTCGTGGTTCTCCTGCTCCTGCTTCAACTTTTTTTGAAAAAATTGAAAAGTTGATGTATTTTTTTTGGATTTTGTTTTTATAGTTTCTTTTTATGTAATTTGTTTTCTGTTCTTGGATTCTTTTTTTCATTAACGTGCACCCACTTTCCCAGATCCATGTATAGATTTTCAATGGCACGATTCCAACACATTCGATCCGTTCTATTAATTAATTAATTTTCTGGATTTTCTTCTTCTTCTTTGTCAATTTGTTTGAATTTAAGAAATCCTTAATTACGCGTCCTTCGTTATCACCTCCCCCTTTGCATTAATCCTGTATCCATCTGCTGATTTTTTTCTTTGGCAACCATTCTTCTACCTCTCTCCAGGTGTGTTTCCTTGCTTGACTTTGAAATTTTTAGTTCTCTTTTTCTTTTGTGAATCTGATTGCCTGAAATTCTATTGAATTGCCGCTTTACGTTTGGAAACTCAGAAATGGAGCAGGCCACACACGACGCAGGCGAACCAGACGAAGAGTTTTGGACCACCATAGGAGAAGAGGAGAGGAGAGGAGAGGAGAGAGGAATGCCAAACCCTAAATCCTAATTTTTTTAAAAAAATTTCGGTTTTGACTTAACCGATGCAATCAAATGAACCGGTTTAAGTAATCCGAATTGCAGACATGACAGGTTACGTGTCATCTGACGTGGTATTTTTCGGATGTGTCATGCCACATCAGCTATTGGACGCTGATGTGGCACGGTTAATTCCTTCTCTGATGTAAATTGGAAATCTAAGAAACAATCGGTGATGGAAAACAGAAAAATTTGAAATCAAGTGGGGGATTTTGTCAAATTAAAAATTGATGTACTAATTTTATACATTTGATATAATCTGTGTGGGTTTTTACCATTTTTCCTTTTTTAAACAAAAAAAGGATATTATGGAAGAATGAGCAAGAATAGAAGCAAAAGCAATTTCATATCACATCACTTGTATATCTTCTCACTTTTTGTTTTGTTATTGAAAGTATTACATCACTTTACTCAAATACACATGAAAGTATTCCATTGATTGATGAATAGTTTTCTCTCACCCAAATGATCCCGTTTAGGGTTAATTTCGGAATGTCCCGTTTTTTGTAAATGACTTTAAATTTTGATTATCAATTATTTAACTTACCAAAAAAAAAAGGATTTCTCTGTGTGTATAATGGATTTAATTTTAGAAGATTATAAATTAATTACTTCATGAGACTGAGTAAATTCAATAATGTTTTTTGGTGGATTAGTAATTATATCATTCTTATCTTTTGGTAATTTGCTCATTGTTCATGTTTAAATGTTGTTTATCGTTTCAATCAAAAGACACTTGCTAAACAAAACATGCACATTTTTAGGATTAGGTCTTTTCTCACCCCTCACATTTTTAAATTGAGCCATTTGCCCCCACGTGTGGAAATTGTTCTAAACTTGTATTTATTACAAAAATTAACACTAGTTTCTCCCTAAACAATATATAAATTTATTCAAATTATGATAACATTTGCCATAGAACCCAAGATTGGATGGTTCAATTGATAAGGAAGAGAACAAAACTCCTCTCCAACTAAGGTTCGAATCTTCACTTGGAGAAGAACATTCACCTTGACTTATCCAATCTTTTATCAAAAAAATATTTGTCACGGACCACCATCTTTTTTATTGGGGGTGTAGATACATGTATTGCTGTATGTTTTGGGTGTAGATATCATTAACGAGATCTTAATTTTTTGTGTTATGTAATAAGATTAGACTTTTAGAGCTAATATATTTTAAGGGACATATAAGGGTATTCTCCATCCTCTCTCTAACTTTACCTTTTCAAACTCTTACGCCGATAACCTAGCTTTCTCCGCTGGAATCCGGCCTCGGCCGGCCCACTGCCGACCGGCGAAAGAAACCCAGTACCACAAAGCCTAGCTCGCCTGCTCTTGCTCGATCTGATGGCTCCTCGTCTTCGATCGAGTTCAGCTCCTCCATCTCCGGGCATATTAGGCCCTCCTCCCCCTTCTTCTTCCTCTCTCTTCAACCGAGATGTAGATCTCTCTCTTCCATCCCCGGTGGCTCCTCTAGCACCACCTCTCGTGCTTTCTTCTCCTCCAGTCAACTCTCCTCTTCAGCGCTTAGCCCTGACCCCTCCCCTGGAAAATTCAGTCCCTACTGAGGTCTGTCAAGCCACTGCAGTCTCTTCCGCTGCTTCTCCAGCTGAGCCTAAGACGCAAATGCAAGCTCCACCTGCCAACTGGAGCCAGTGCCTCGTGTCTTCCCTCGCTATCTTGCAGAAAACAGGTTCCCCCTCGGTCCATTCTTTTGGAATCCCGCTTGTAGAAATTCCCGAAGAAACTTTGACACAAGCTGCAGAGGAATGGAAAGATTTCCTGTACAGACAATTTTATGGGCTCCCACCATCGCTTGGTCAGATAATAGGAGTCACCAACGCTATCTGGCCACGAAACGGCGGCAAGATTAAGGTCCAAAGCTTGGGCGATGGAACTTTTATCTTTAAAATCCCGGATCAGGAGACGAAAAGCTTCATACTGAATCGCAAGATCTGACACATTGGGCCATGCCCTATGTATGTCTCGGATTGGAATCCAAAAATCCAAACTCCGAAGCCTCCCCTCCAATCAATTCGAACTTGGGTTTCATTCAGGAACTTGCATCACAAGCTCTTCAGCAAAGAAAGCCCGAGTCGGATTGCAACAAGCATTGGTACTCCAATCTATCTGGACAGCAATAAGTTTGCCGAATGGTCAAACGAGTGTAACCTCTGTATCCTATGAGTGGTTACCCCCAAGGTGCAGTGTATGCTCGAAGATCGGCCATAGTTATAGATACTGCCCTAAACTCTCAGAAGGCCAATCTAGACCTGTTCTTAGCCGATCAAGGAGCCGAGTGTGGGTGAAAACCGAGGCGGCAGGCGATCTAGAGACCAAGAATCATTCCCCCCAAGCAGATATGGCTGTAGAGGCTCCCCAGCCTCCTCCCCCTGAGACCCCCTTGGTTGCGGAGGACCAAAGCCTAGAGCCTACCGTGGTAACCCAAATGTCAGCTCCACAGACAAAGCAGCTAAATCTCGGAACTTCAGTCACCAGTAATAAAAGTTCAGATGGCCCAGGGACCTCAACAACAGCATCGAGAGGAGGTCAGAAAACAGGAAAAAAGAAAGGAAAGAAAGCAACAGGGTCCATCGGTAGTACATTGCCGGTGACTAATGGAAATCGGGGTCGAAAGGCCCCAAAAGCTGCCTAAACTTTTGTAGTATCCCATGTTTTTTGTTTGGAATGTGAGAGGCCTAAACAACCGAAATAAAGGAAGGATTTTCCGGAAATGGATTTTGGACAGTAAAATGCGTCTTGGAGGATTACTTGAATCACACATACAAGAGCAGAATGCGGACAGGATCAAAGCGGCGATCCACAAGGTTGGAAATACACGTGTAATTATTCCGACGACCGGAGCGGTCAGATATGGATTGTATGAGAACCCACCTCCATAGTCACGGTATACAGCTCAACCTCCCAAGCTGTTACCTGTGGTATTCTCTTCCCGAACGAAGCCATTGCCTTCACTGCTTTCTTTGTTTACGCAAAGAACACGGCCCCAGAGAGGACAGCCCTATGGGACCATCTCCATTCCTTGGCCAACTATCAGCCCCTAGCCTCGACCCCTTGGTTAGTTCTCGGAGACTTCAATCAGGTGATGCGACCAACAGATCGATCAAACTATCCAGCCAACAACACATTAACCCAAGGTATGGTGGACTTGAACTGTGTACATCTATTTCTGGACTAACGGACCTCCCTAGTCGGGGAGCTCTCTTTACTTGGTGCAACCTCCAGCAGGAAAATCCACTATCAGTCAAGCTTGATCGGGCAATGGGGAACTTGGCTTGGTTTGAGAAATATGCTAAAATCTACGCAGAATTCGGCAACTTAGGGCCTTCCGATCATTGCCCCTGTATTCTACGATGGCCAACTACGCAACGTAAGTTGAAGAAGCCATTCAAGTTTTTTCACCACCTTATTGACCACCCAGACTTCCAGGAGACAGTGAGAGAAAGTTGGATGAGCCAAGTAGAACCTGGGACTCAACAATTCCGATTATGTCAGAAACTTAAGAAGTTGAAAAAGCCACTACAGAAACTGAATAGGAAGGATTTCAGCAATATTAGCATAAGGGTCAAACAGTTGGAGAGACAGCTGGAAAACTTGCAAATGGATATTCTCACTTGCCCGAACCGAGCTCTATTGATTGTCGAGCATGATACCAGGCAGGAATGGCTAAGAATGGTAGCAGCAGAGGAGACGTTCTACAAACAAAAATCTAGGATCAGATGGCTGCAGTTGGGGGATAGGAATACTTCATTTTTCTACAGCATGCACCGAGCGAGAACGTCGAGTAATCACATCCACTTCTTTACAGATGATGATACATGAAGCAAGATAGAAGGCCAGAGGGAGCTAACAACCCATGCAGTTTCCTTCTTCTCTACACTTCTCGGCACTCAAAGCAACTCAGTATCGCCCCCTTCAGTGCACTCTCTTGACGACTTGCTCAACTTTACTTACCCGGATGAGATGTCACCCTCGTTCTCTGAGATTCCAACGGCTGATCAAATAAGAGTAGTATTATTTGCCATGCCAAATAACAAGGTGCCAGGACCGGATGGCTATACGAAAGAATTTTATGTCTCGAGTTGGGAGACAATTGGTAAGGAGTTCGTTGAGGCAGTTCAAGAGTTCTTTCGCTTGGGTAAACTTCTGGGGCAGATAAATGTTACATCTATTACACTAGTGCCTAAAAGAATTGGAGCTACATCTCTACGAGATTTTCGACCTATAAGTTGTTGTAACCTCATCTACAAGGTCATCTCCTCCATCTTAGCTCAAAGATTGAAGCCTTTACTTGCTACATTCATCTCGCCAAACTTAACGACATTCATCAAAGGCAGACTTATGATTGAGAATATCTTAGTTGCGACATAACTGATCAGAGGCTATAATCGAGAAAAAGACACAAAAGGGGCGGCTATCAAAGTGGATATTCGTAAAGCCTTTGACACGTTAGAATGGTCATTCATATTGAGAGTGCTAGAAGCCATCAAACTACCAAGGGTCTACATCGGCTGGATAAGGGCATGTATCACCACCCCGAAATTCTCTATTTCTGTCAACGGAGAGTTAGCGGGATACTTCCACGGAGGTCAGGGATCCATTATCCCCTTACCTTTTCATCCTCTCAATGGAGGTACTCTCACGTCTCCTAGACTCATCAAACAGAGAGGGTCGATTCAACTTGCACCCAAGATGTCAAGAACCACGGATAACCCACCTTGCCTTCGCGGATGATGTGCTCATTTTTACTTCTGCAGAAATTGACTCCTTCGCGACAATCAAAGGAATCCTACAACACTTTGGGAACATGTCCGGGTTAATTATTAACCCTGAAAAATTAGAAGTCTTCATTGCTGGGCGGCAAGACAAGTGCCACGAGGAGTTAGCTGACGTTGTTGGCTGCAAGATAGGGAAACTTCCTATACGCTACCTGGGAGTTCCGCTTAGCCCTTGGAAGCCATCAAAGAGAGATTTTCAACCGCTTATAGAGCGAATGAAGTCAAAGCTGGTGGCTTGGACTACTAAGCATCTATCTTTTGCAGGAAAGTTACAGCTCATAAACTCGGTAATATATGGGTTGATTCATTTCTGGGGTTCAGTATTTATGCTATCTAAATCGCTGCTCAAAGTTATCAACAGCTTATGCTCAAAATTCCTCATCATCGGGGACAGGCCGCAGTCGTGCACGTGTTTCATGGGACTGTATATGCATTCCCAAAGCAGAAGGGGGTCTGGGATTGCGCAACCTGATCGAGGTTAACCTGGTTCAGCGTCTGAAACTTGTTTGGATCCTATTCACCAAGCAGAAATGTCTATGGGTGAGGTGGATTAGGAAAAATGTGCTGAAGAAGAAGGTAGTTTGGGGCACCGAACCATCTGCAACGATGTCTTGGAATCTGAGGAAAGTACTAACACTTAAGCCCTTAAGCAAAGGTTTCATGTCTTTTCAGGTGCGGGATGGCCGCATAGCACGGTTCTAGCATGAAAACTGGATGGGTGGTGGCTGCATCTTGGAAAAAATCAGAGATATCGGGCCAAGACAGCTGCGGATACACGTGAACAGCACAGTCCAAGAGGCCTGCAAGAACGGAACATGGATTCTGCCCGGGGCTAGGTCCACGCCGTAGAGGAACTTCAGATTGCCTTGACGAATATTCCAATGCGTACGGATGATAAGGGACGACTAGCCACTTTGGAAGCACAAGGCTGACACCTTCAAGCCATGGTTCTCAACATCACATACTTGGGAGTTGTTGAGAGCAAGGAAACCTGTGGTTCAATGGCACAACATAGTTTGGTTTCGTCACTGGGAGCTACAATCAAAAGGTTACCCACTAAGGACAGGCTCATCAGTTGGCGCATCGTCTTGGATCAAACTTGTGTTCTATGCACCAATGGATGCTACGTCCAAACCGCGACAAGACAAGAGACCATGATCTGATTGCAAGACTGGTATTGCAACTCACCATTTCGCAGGTCTGGCATGAAAGGAACCAACATATTTTTACTGGTTTGTCACGTGGAAGCGCTCAAATCAAGACGCATATTGATCGTATGATGAGAAATATTCTTCTTCCGATATCCCATGAGACCGAATTGGGACACTGTTAAGTTCTGGAGAACTGGTTTTACTTACACTATCGGCAACGAATCCGGCGAGACACTCACATTCCTGAAGCTCTTAGAGCTGAATTTTGCATTTTGGCCTTTTGTCATGGGATCTACTGTTGCAACTTAAAACTAATTTGTAAATCTTAAACTCTTCTGATTAATACGATTCATATTTTGATACAAAAAAGGGTATTCTTGTTATTAGGGAAAATAAAAAAACACTGAACTTTATAATTTTGACAGAAAAAACACCAAATTTTCGTTTTTGTCAAATAAACATTAAACTTTTTAATTGAATTTAAAAAAGCACTAAACTTTTTAAATGATCCAAAAAATACATAAACTTTTATGTGATTGTCAAAAAAATACCAAACGTTTTAAATAATTAAAAAAACACATGAACTATATACAATTGTAAAAAAAAACTACAATAATTTGACGTGTTTGCATCTCGTCATGTCACGTTAGCTCATTTGTTTATTTTGACAATCGCAAGTGTTTTTTTGACAAATTTAAAAAGTTTAATGTTTATTTGACAAAATCAAAATTTTAGTGTTTTTTGTCAAAATTGAAAATTTCAGTGTTTTTTATTTTATTTTCCCTTGTTATTAATATTGTTATTAAGTTTACTTAGGATTTTAATCTAGAATCTTCAGATGTACATAAACATAATTTCACTTTCCATTAACGAAAGTAGAAGTATGTGGGATGCAGTTTTTATATTTCCATAAATGTAATTTCGTTATTCATTCAAGATTCAAAATTTAAAATATGTTTTAGGGTTTTTTGCTCTCTCCTCGCCAACCGCCGAACGAGGATTCATGTGCGATGAGCTCATCGTCACAACTGGATCCGATGACATCAGAGTCGGATGCCAGGCACACCAAGAAGGTCCGCATGAGAGATGAGGAAGAAGCCCCATTCCACTCCAACGCATGGACCTCTGGAGGAGTCTCTTTCAGGGACAAGGTTGGTTTGGAGATTTTGAAATCCCTTTCACATGTGAAGATGCAAGATTGGAAGAAGAAGACATAGCCATCACCAAGACGAACCACAACTTCTGTGTGTCCCTTTCGGAAGAGTTTATTGACCGAATCGAGAAGCCCTGAGAAGCTCTCTGGTAGTGAAGCTCCTGGGAACAGCGATCAGCTGCAAATCGATGTGCTCAAGACTCGAGAACCTATGGAAGCCAGCGGGGATGTCAGTTATCGATTTCGAGAACAATTTCTTTCTGGTACGATTGAAGAGTGAGACGGATTGTCAACATGCGCTCTGTGATTATGACACCCGTAACCCGTATCCCGTAATACGAGCTACGTCACATGGACAATTAAAATAAAAACATGATTCCAAAAATCTCCGGGAATTTAAAACTTTTCTTTTTCAGAGTTTAGCGGAAGAAAAACATTCATACATTCATATATGATACGTTATTCCACTTATAATTATACATAGATGCGTAGTAGTGATTATTACAAACCATAAAAGTCTACCACAGATATAATACAAATCGTTTCCCAAAAATATAGATGTACTATAGTAAATAATTATACATGATCAGTTGACAGGTCACCCAAGTCTCCGATGTCTGTTCCACGACTACTGCTGCTCACGACCTGAAATGTTGCGTAACAACGTCCTAAGCTAATTGCTTGGAGAGTGAACTCGAGCGTAACCCGGAGTCCTTATTTTCAGTTTATTTTTTTGAATTTCTCTATTTTTCACTAGACTATGTCGGTCAGATACCGAGTCTGATTAGTCTAGTTTTGCTCTCCCTTACCCGGTGTATTTTCAGCGTTCCATTATCTTTTTTTTCTAGATCGGTCTGGTCAGACCGACCGAACTGATTTTTGGATCCAAACCGATCGATCTAATTGGTCTAGACCGATCGGTCTGCTTGGTTCAGACCGGACGGCCTGCATGGTACAGACCGGATGGTCCGGGTTCTCCAGACTGGACAGTTCAGGTTCTCTAGACCAGATGGTCCAGACTTCGTCTTCAACCTCTGAAATTCGTGTTTTCTTCTGCACCCCTAGACCGGACGGTCTGACCTCAGACCGAGCGGTCTAGGCCTCGGATTTAACCAAAAGCACTCAAACAGGCACGATTCGCTATGGGTAATACATTAAAACTCATAAAATCTCATGTTGAACACGAATCAAACATCAGTTTTGCACGATTCACTCAAAAACCAAACCCCATGTCAATAGACTTCCGAATTAAACTCGAATTCACTCATCTCGGGTTAATCTCGTGCTCTGGGTGACGGATAGGAAGCTTGATGATGCTCCTTTTGCTTTGTAGAAAAAATTTGAGCATAAATGCTTCGGATTCGAGAGAGAATTCCGAGTTTGAATGATGAACAAGTGAGGGGGGTGAATGATTAAATGCAGCTCGGATTCGACAAATCCAGATAGAACTCGAGCCCAAGGGTTAAAAAATCCGATTTTTGGTCGATGATTGATGGGTACACGTCGTTTTTGGGTCAGATATTGTGAGAAAGTCACGACTTTCATCGCTGCCGACAGTCTGGTTCGTCCGGTCTAGAGAGCCTAGACCGGACGATCTAGATTTTTTTGTTTTGAAAAATTCGGTTGTTACAGTGATGGTCCATGGGTCATAATGGGATTGTATCTTACAGTACAGAAATAGAGCCCGAATTTTGCCCCCTCGGTCTCACAACCATCTCATGTGGTGGCCTGTATAAGGTTTCCGTCTATAATACACTCTCAGCGTTGTGATAACATGTATTTTGGTGATATTTTGGTATAAGATGTCTAGTGCATTTTACTCGGTTTTGCATATTTATAGGCATTCTAGAGTACATTTGGTCTCGATATTGCTTGGTTGCTTTCTTTGGTGTCAAAACAGGTATTCATGCATAAAAGACAGCAAAAGAAGTGGAAAACATGGACTACGGAATATCACAGACGAAACGGGAACATTTGGAGTTATTCCGGGGAAAAACACGAAGCCTAAAAAGTCAGATTTTGCAAGTCCAAGCATGTTCGAGTTGAAGAATCGACACGGACCGTGTTGAATTCGACACGGCCGTGTTGTGTCCGTGCTAAAAAAAGTGAAGTTTTGCTCAGAGAATTGACACGGACCGTGTTGTCATTCCACACGGTCGTGTTGATTCCAACTCGCCCGTGTTCAATCCATGTCTAAAGTGCAGATTTTTAACAGAGAATTGGCACGGACCGTGTTGCATTCGACACGGCCGTGTTGCATTACGGGAAAACTTCCTTTTTACATCCAAACTTTCGTTTTCAGCAAAGGAAGAAGCCTAGCTGCCAAGTAAATAAATAGGAGACGTCTTGGGCTTCAGAAATCATCGAAAGATCACAGTAGAAGCCAGATAACTCGAGAGAGAATCAACACGGAGTTTCCCGAGAGCAGAGATTGAAGAATCATCGTCGAGAGATCGCTGCGAGTCTTCTTTATCTGTTTCTATGTTTCTTCTCATTGATTTGAACTCGTTTGTTGTTATGGGTTGCGAGTAGTCGTTTCACTGTAGGTAGAGATTTAACCTTGTAGGGATTTGTTTGGTTTTTATTTTTCGAGACTACGTTATCGATATTCGACGGTTTAATTGAATTGAGTTTATTGCTTTTGATCTTTTTGGCCAGTTGATTGATTGATCTTAGATTCTGATGTACAACGAGAGTTGGAATTAGATTCAGAAAAAATTCATTGAATGAATTGATTAAGACTATTGAAAGATAGGTTAATCGGTTTAGGAACTATGATAGTGATCGGTAATGCATTTGATATTTTAATCTATTAGGTTGAGAGATCGATAGGTTAAATTATTGGATAGTGGATTTAGGACTTGAGATAGCCAAATCTGATATTAAAACTTGAGATCCCCGATTAGAGTTCGATATTCGTAGATTCTCCATCCTTAGAAACAATCCCTGCGCATTAAGGTTATCCCGGAGCTACGATGGTTTAGTTATCTGATTTTACTTAGTCGATATATTGTTTTAATTCCGATATTCACACACTTCATTCCATATTTCCTGGTCTAATTCTTGGTCGAGTCTTGTGTTAGTTTAGTGCTCTGTGATATGCTGTTATGCGAGTTTTATTATGATACATTTGATGTATTGACACTTCCTATGGTTTTATGGATTAGTGTTTGATTCATTACGTATTGTGCATGCTTTAATATGTTATGAAATCCATGTATTGTTATGAACAATACTAAACTCCCTAGTCATGTATCATTGTGGGAATAATGATATACTAATACTAGTATGATGTGTGATTGATGATCATATAGATGATCATAGGTATTGGATACGATCACAGTCATAGTTATTCGTTGGAGAACGGAATACTGGATTGACCCGCAAGAGATTGTCACATGGACTAGCGTCATGACTTGAATCTCATATGGCGGTTCCATGATTGGATCCTAAGACCTGAGATATCTACGGAATCCAACATGAGGAGTTGCGTGCTTTGAATACGTCAAACGTCCTACATAACAGGACGACTATGAAGGTGTGTATCAGGTACAAAACGAATCATGTGTTGGATTGTAGATAGTCAAGACGGGATTTGTACCTCTCGTAAAAGAGAGAGATATCGCTGGGCCCCTCGTGTGAGTGAGACTGTAGAAATGTGTGGCCGCACTATAGACGAGCGTCGTCTATTTCAGACAGTCGAACTCAGTGAACCAGAAAGCAGTTGAATCAGATAAGGTTGCTTGTCCATGCCTTATGTTCAATATATGATATCGCGATGCAAAAGGATCATCAACCGGAATCATCACTGGCATTCGTAAGATCACGAACAAACTCTATTCGAGATAGGTAGTCATAGTGTCTTGCTAGAGACCGCCTATGACTTGTATATCCGAAATAGAGATTTCGGGTTATACTGCTATATCGAATGAGCCTACAGGGTCACATACGCAGACAGAAGGGGCTGGAACGGATGGACCGAAAGGGCCAGACTCGACGGTCCGCAGGTCCAGACCTGACGGGCCGCCGAAGGCAGAC